GAGCTGGCGGAGCCCGCTGGCAGTTACTCCTGCGTGGCAGCGGCTCTGGCCCTTCTGCTCTTCCTGCTGCCCACCAGCTGCCCGGCGGTGGGCGCGCAGAATGACACCGAGCCCATCGTGCTGGAGGGCAAGTGTTTGGTGGTATGCGACTCTAGCCCGTCCGCCGACGGTGCCATCACTTCATCGCTGGGCATCTCCGTGCGCTCTGGCAGCGCCAAGGTGGCTTTCTCGGCCACGCGCAGCACCAATCACGAGCCGTCTGAGATGAGCAACCGCACCATGACCATCTACTTCGACCAGGTCAGGTGGTGCGCCAGTCTTGTTTCCCTCCCCTCCCTTTCCACCGCCAACCTCGCCCTTGATTAAGCCCCTCCCGGAAGCAGCAACAAAGCCAAGGCTCCGCCCAACTGCCCTCCCTGCCTCCCTCCCCTTTCACCAGGTAAGCCTTCATCACATCCAAGCACCAAACACTTTGCTCCTACTCCCCCTGGTGTTACAAAGAACCGGTCACACATTTCCCGCCCCTGAGATCTTTTATCCTTAGCTCTATCTCCATTCTCCTCCCAGGCTTAGCCCTTCCCCTTGGCATCAGTGACTGGAGTCCTATTGATTGCCCAGTTCTGATCTTTTAAACCATCTTTTACCTCTATCCAAGTGACCCACTTTCTCTGCACCAGCTACCTTTGGTCTTTATGCTCCCTGCCCACATTCCAGTCAAACCCTCTTCCATATGTGTCCTCTCTCCTATCATGTCCTATTTCACCAGGGATCTTTCTCAAGTTCAAGTTTGTTTCAAGAATCTTAAGGCCATCCACTACAATAATTCACAGGCAGCATCTTGGCAGCACTTCTTCCTCATCAACTTCTTGGATGAGAACCATGACTTTATGAGTTTCCTTTTAGTGCCCAGTCTTGCACTATGTCTATCATTAAATACCACTAAGGACACCTTTCTCATTTTATCTGGAACAAGCATGACTTCAGTGTATGTGTCCTTTTCTAAGACATATCTACGTCTAATTTCTCCAGACTGGGTGACTCTGGGATTTCCTTTTGTAAATTGGACAGGAAAGACAGTCTGTAGAAATCTGCACAGCACAAGTGTAGTGCCAAGTGGGACAAGCTGAAAGATTTATTAAGGAAATCTTCAAAGAACCTATTGTGTTCTTGCAGTCTAGAAATTAAAAAAAAGATGCATTGGGATTTTATATTTTTTAAAAAATTAACTATATATCCTTAATGTATAGATACAGATGTAACACCTCAGGCTGATTGCAGTAGATAATTTAAAATAATTCTGTATACATTGTGTGTACTACTGTTGCATTTTATCTAACTCCTCAACCAAAGAATAACTTCTTCAAACCCACAGGAATTTTATGTTAAATATGTTTTGCTGTTATACATTTCTAGGAAAAATATGACAGCATAGATTGGCAGAGTTTTAGCATGAGCAGAATTATTCTGAGTCTTCTCTGATACACAAAGGGACATAGAAATGTCAGTTACTATATGAATGCTTTATGCCTACCATATTGTCATATTCATACCTTCAATTCATGACACATTGTCTTAAAAAGAAAGATTAAAATTATAGTTTGATCACTGTTGCTTTTGTATGTACATGCAATAAATCGTAGTGGTTTCTGTTTAGAAGATCAAAGCTAGAATCCTGTACCTAGGGAAATGAACTCTACTGAATTCAGTGACACTTAGCAATTATTTACATGTCTACTCAGAAGCAAATTTCACTGAACTCTTTGGGAGTGTAAAAAAAGGGTGTAGGATTGCAGATCTCTGAAAAGTAAAAAGAAAAGGAAGTGTTGAGTTCTCTATTTGTTTTTTAACATGAAACATGTTTTAAAACAGGTGTAGATAAGCTCTGAAATTCACAAGCTCTGTATCACAGCCAAAACCTTTCACTAACTTCTGAACTGCCTTTCTGTTCACTCATGCCTGGACCTTAAACACAGCAAATGGGAATCAGAAAACTGATGCTGGCAATTGTTGACAAGGTATTAATGTGATGGGCAAAGCAAATGCCTCTTCTGCATTTTTTATTCCTAAATAAAATCTATGAAGTAGTGAGCTGGTGGGAAAGCAAAATAACTGGACAGTGACTGTGGACTGGGAGCCCTCCACTTGGAAGCCTACCTACCCAGCAGTCAAAAAATAAGATCCCAAGCAAGTGCTAGCAAATAGTTGTCTAGACAGATTATAGAGAAGATTACAGGTCTGATTCTGCAAATAATATGAAAATTAATTGTATGAACCTTAAAGATCTGGTCTGGAATGTTCACTAGACCTCTCACGAGTCTGCAACTTTCAATCACATTTTTTAGATAACCTGCCAGACTGGACTGTGTAAAGTATTGGGATGAGGACCTTCTTTGTAAAACTGTTCCCTCTACCTGCTTTTGTGATACTGATGATGCTCTGAAACATTTATAACTTGGCACTGGGTATCCTTCTGCATTATTCTAATTGGCAAATGGCATTTCCTTTTACCACTAAGTCCATGTTCAGAGTCTCTGTGGGTTAAAATATACACACCCTCCTTATTTGTTCAACCCTAATTGAATAAGTTTTGCTTTAGGATGGGTGTGGGAACAGAAAAATAGAATAAGGAATGCAGATGAAGAATGCGACTTCCCTTAAAATCTGAACTCTGTTCTCCACGTTTCATCCCATACAACATGACTAAGTTTCTTTCACTTCACATTAGCACTGCAAGCCTCAAGAGACACAATTAGTTTCAGTACTGTCATATGAAAATGTAAAATCTGGTGGCTTGTTCAATGGACTATTTTCCTCTTTTCTTTGTGTACGTCTCAGCAATGATATATTCTGTTTTCTCCTTCACTGTGCAGACATAGGCTGCCATCATGTGTCTTTCATTCTCTCAAAGTGCACCACTGGGTAAATCAATCAGCCGTCTGAACAGATCCTTTTACAATACCTTGGGAACTGGCTTCTTCCCCCCGCAGTCCATTTTAATTGTACAGCAAATGCCAGTGGTTTTGCACTGCTGGGGCGGGGGAAGACTGAGAGCTGCCTCTCCTCCACCCCACTTTCCATTTAATGAAGGAACAACCTGATTTCTTTCTTTTTCTCCTCCAGGTATTAGTTAATATTGGGAACCATTTTGACCTCGCTTCCAGTATATTTGTAGCACCAAGAAAAGGAATCTATAGCTTCAGTTTCCATGTTGTGAAAGTATATAACCGACAAACTATCCAGGTATGTGCCAATATTAGTGGTTCCTCCTTAGAACAGTCGTTTCATTTCACAAAATCATTCACACAAAGACTTGTTAAAATACACAATGAGGAATGGATCCATGTCCTAAATTATTTATTAAACTACTATTTAGCAGTGTTATAAAATAACAGGGTGGACTCTGTTGCCTCATCAGTGATGTAATTTTCCATCCTTGGTCAGTTTCCTTTGACTGAGCTAACTGGGAGAGGAAAGCAAATATGTGTCATCCACAGCCTGACCTGGGAGGGAATTTGTAGATCATCTGAAACCTTTTCAGTATCCTCCTGCATTAAGGAGATGTGTTCTAGCCTACCTTGTCACCCACTCTTTATTTTGGGTTTCCTGCATGTAGGGGAGCTGACTTGCCTGTGGTTATAATGTACTATGTGAATGTGTGTTTGTGAGTTCTATTGGGATATAATAGTAAACTTTTAGATAAATCTTACAAGACCACTTAGCTGATATTTCTTTTGTACTGCAGGTAAGTTTAATGCAAAATGGCTATCCCGTGATTTCAGCTTTTGCTGGCGATCAAGATGTTACCAGGGAAGCAGCCAGCAACGGGGTCTTGCTTCTTATGGAAAGAGAAGACAAAGTGCATCTCAAGCTGGAGAGAGGAAATCTCATGGGAGGATGGAAATATTCAACCTTTTCAGGGTTCTTAGTCTTTCCATTATAAAGAAAGAGCAAGGTGAATCCTAATCTGCAAGCCGGCACAGGAATTTGGTCGTTAAATAACAACAACAAATGAAAAGACCCCCCTGTCTCCTCCTAGAACTTGGCTAGACCTGCCGGTAATTCTAAACACCCCGTCAGACTGCCATCACAGAAGAATGAGAAAACTTCTTGATGCCATTCTTTGTGTTAACTCTTGACAGTTCCTTGAGAAATTTGCAGCTCTGATTAGTTTTAGATGACAGTCATCTTTAAGAAAAAAGAAATGATCAACCTGAGCAATTTGTACCTGTGATTGTAAAGTCAATTTTGGATTTTATTGTTGGGATTTCATTTACTTTCTTCCCTTTCTTCCTCTACTTGTCCTGAAGGGATGCATTAATTGGGACCACAGAAGTGTTTCTATGGGACTTATTCCAAAGCCAGAAGACCCTGATATCTGATGATACCTTCCTGTGTGCTTTCTCTTTTTGTGTTTGCATAGCCTTAAAAAAAAAAAAAAAACAAAGTACCAAGAGAAAAACAAGAATTGCTCCAAACTTCAAACCTGTATATTCTGGGGGAGGATAATTTTTGGACATTACTGTGTCAAGAAGTGCTTTATTCAGTGAAGCAAATTTTGCACGATTGGAACCTATTTTATTTTGTGTTACTCGTGTTTTCCATCATCCTTCTTTCCATTTTCTGACTGTTCTTGTGCTAAAGAAGAAAGGTGGTTTGACCCATATGATAAAGCAAGCACATATATACTCTGTGGCTTGCACTGAAACTAACCAATGAACGATGCTGCGTGCGCTATCCAGCTGGTTTAATAGAAGCATTTGTTGGCACAGTGGAAGACAATACAGCTCGAGTTGGAAAGGGAGGGACTGACATTTCTGATATTACCTGAATCTGTTCCAGAAGGTTGTGAATATCTCAAGTGAAAATACTGTAAAATAATAGCATTTCTTTGCATTACTGGGAATCATTTGCTGCTTTCCTGATATTTATTTGATGGATTAATTTACTTATGGTTATATATGCTGTGATTTGGCCTCTCTGAGTGTTCCAACAAGTTATCTTCCCTCCAGGTTAAATAAAAATAGATACACACCAAATTTGCTAGGATCAACAATTTGTGTGCCAGAATCAGGGACACTGAAATCCAGAGGCTTTGAAAGCTTACAAAGATTATGTGGTTCAACTATAAATATACCATAATTTGTATATCTTTTTCTTTGCTTTTTGTTGAAGCTTCCCCAAGTAACATCCAAAGACTTCTGAGTAGTCTTAATCCAATACTGTATACAAAAAGTCACTGATTTCAAATAATAAAAGAAGAAACCTCAGGTTGAATTAACATTCACCTTCTATGTGTCAATGTAACCAAAATGCTGATGAACTTTAGATTCAGAATAAATGGGTTTCATGTCCAACTTGCCTTCTTTTTACTTTTATGTAAGTGTCAAAGGTAGCTGGGCAACACAGGGAAAACTGCATTTTGGACTAAAAAAAGAGAAAGTAATGAGAATTTGGAGGGATGGGTTGTTTGCTTTTTTAAACCAATCTGTTTTTAAAATTCATATTTCAAATATGTTTTTGAGGAGCTGGGTAGATTGGGATTTTATTTTCCTTTTGATGGCTTCTTCTTTCCCTTCTCAAGGAACAAAAATAATGCAAATGTTTGCAGAATCCAAGGAAGAAATATACTGCATTGCATAGAGGACATATTTTTCATTCTAAATTTGTTATTGAAGGGTCACTATTAATTGAAATAATTCCTAGCAGCATATCTGTGTACTTTGAAATATTTTTCTAAGAAAAGAATTCTAAAAACTGTGTTTTTCTCTTTACTTTTGTTGACTCTGCTTCTTACCTTGTGGATTTAGAAAATCCAATTAAGTATTGGTTTTGCATTTGGGTTGTTTCTAACTCAAATTCTGTATAGATTTTTTTTTTAACCACTTGCAGCAGTCTAACAGGGTCACACTATATAGCAAATTTCTATCCGTAGATTCTTAGATATAAGGATATAGATTTTTAAAATATATATATTTATGGTGTACTAGAGTCTGTGAATATAGATTTTAGTGCTGAATGTGATATAATATTATATAACTTATCCAATGGGAAATCTGGACAGGTATTTTATTTTTGTTGCATTGCAAATATATTTCATTCCAATCTTTATTACTTTATGGCATGCCTTAGTACCTCCTGAACACAAAACTAAGCAAAATTCTAATTGAATGCTTGAATTGGAGCATGAATAGCAGATGTGAAATACTTGTGGGTATCCAGGTCTTGTTGGACTACAGGGCTTAACACATCTGGGCACTGCCCTGGTAGAAGTCCAGCATCTGGAAGGCTGTAAATTCTCCATATCAGTATATAGTTTGAACAGATTTCAATGCATCTGCACATGTTCCCTTCTCTATGTTACTGGGTGAATCCATAAGCACTGGTTGCAGGAACAAGCAAACCAGTTTTTCATGTTTGTACATAAAACTGCATCAAATTATTTGCTATGCAGTGTCTTATTCCAGTGTTCTGGTACAACACCAAAAAGAAGTATGAGTGTAATTGCAGGTTCAGTTATATTTAGTCTGCTGTTTTTCAGGTAGCAGTCATCTGAGCATGAACTATCAAGTTACATATGTGTTTCTAAGGTATAAAAAAGAGAAAGGAAGGAATGCAAAAAAAAGGAAAGGAAAGGAAAGGAAAGGAAAGGAAAGGAAAGGAAAGGAAAGGAATGCAAAAAAAAGGAAAGGAAAGGAATGCAAAAAAAAGGAAAGGAAAGGAAAGGAAAGGAAAGGAAAGGAAAGGAAAGGAAAGGAAAGGAGGAATGTATGCCAACCTATGCAAAATATGTACACTTAAAAGGGGCAGTGGAGAATTCCTAATGTTTCCGTTCTGCTTTGGTAATGAAATTAGCTGATTGGTACTCAAAATTCAATAATAAATTTGGATGAGGACAGTTTAAGTAGGATTTGTGATGCAGTAATTTCTGCAACAATAAATTTGGTTGCAGGTACTATAGAATTGTCTTCTAGCTACAACTATTGCAAGGTTTTAGGTGAGTCAGAATTTTGAAAAGCTGATTAGACCAAAATAAAAACAAATACTGAAAAGGGAAATAATGCTTTTAGAGTACGTGTCTTCAAGTGCATCATAGCAGATTTTCAAGGTATTAAATTGTAATATAATAAATCACTTAAAATGGATTGCCACATAATATTCTACGCTACCATCATACGTCAGCGAATAATGGAGGACATTAACTCAGCAGCCTATTGTTAATGTTAACAAGCCTCAGGCTGGATGTGGATGATGGGAATAGTAATCCAATATATGTCGCAGCCATCAGATTGGGGAAGGCTGCATTAAGAATACTGAATTTATTTACTTCCATTCATCTTAGCATTAATCTTACAACCAAAAGTGTAAGGCTAACTTTATGACATGGCAATTTCAATACTTACAATATAATTTATAAATGGGAATGTTAAAAATATTTTAAAGCAGTTTATCAAACTTTTAATTAAAATTATACTTGAGGATAGATTTCAGTTTTGGTGGGATTTTGTTTTTATTTTCTAGAAAGAAAAGAAATCTTTACTAACTGTAACTTCTGATACTACAAATAGCATTGTTGGTGTTCTTGGGAATGTGCAATACGCAAATAGTAGCTGTTCCAGGGATGTAGCATATGTTCAGAGTATTTTTCTAGAACTGAACCAATTTCTTTAAGTTGTTAAACTTTGAAGATGAAATTAGAGGCTCAAACATTTCAGCTGTAGATTTATTATAAAAATGTAATTATTTCCGTATTACCTTTTTAGGTCTTTTTTTTTTTTTTTGTCATAGAGTTGAAAAAAATCCAGCAAGGATGAATTGTATACATTATGTAACAAGAATATTAAAAATAATGGAACTCACTGATTGTTCATTCTTACAGGACATATTGGGTAATAATAGACTTGTTACATAGCTAGAATCACAAAAAAGCTTATGGACTAGAGTAAAAAGCTTAATTATTGGACTAAATGTATGCATGCATGATAGCCAGAAAAATTGAATTGGACTTTGAGAAGTTTAGAGAATGTCCAGAGAGGTTTTTTTTTTAATTTTTTTTTAAAGAAAATAAAAATGAATATAAAAATGAACTCAACAAGAACAATAAGACATTAGTTCTTAATTTCTTGTTGAGTTCATTTTTATATGCTGAAGCACTTAATATGTAACAATTGGTCCCAACTGTTATGAATCCACTGATATCTAGAAGGTCGCATTGGAGACCTCTAGTTCTATGTTGTGCACAATTTGGCTGCTTTATGTAATTGCTGTTGAGTTTTTAAAACAAATGTGAAGAATAGGCAATTAATTCTATTGTGTCTATTTTAAAAGTGGCATAAGGTAACATACAGTATTGGTAAAATCATATATAACACACAAAAGAAAATATTGAAAATTCAGAGGGATCTGTGGAGAACAAACCTAACTGTGGGATCTTAAGAATGGTTACATAGCAGTTAGCCTGCTGAGTGTAATGGGACTTACTTCTTACTAACTAATTTAGACTTGTAATCTGAGGTGATTGTGTCCTTCTGTTTGTTCTACCTATAGCCTTTATAAAAGTAGACAGTGCATGATAGCCGTGTTACTACATTATGAATTTTCTTGCTTCTATGGTACTTCATAAATCTGCTCACGAGATCAGTAATCT